GTACATACGACCATAGGGTGTGGAAAACAGGGCTTCCCGTCCGCTCAGCCGTACTTAAGCCACACGCCGGTGAGTTAGTAGTTGGGTGGGTGACCACCAGCGAATCCTCACTGTTGTATGTTTTTGTCTTGTTTTTTATTTACTCAAACTTTTGATGGCTCAATCCACAGGTCGCTAACTTCAACCACGAGAGTGTTGGATATGCCAACGAAATCCACTCTAGCGTCTAGAGTACCTCCAAACAAGCAATTCCCATGGTTCGCCCCACATGGTCACTTTAACCCTTTACTCGGGCCTGGATCATCTTCCCTCTCGTCTTCATCTCAACTTGCTGATGACTTCCAGGAAGAAAGCGAGGCTTACGAGACTTACGATGCCCCCGCATATCTCCAGAAGATTGTCGATGATATTCGTAACCTGGAAATCGTGTATTTCACCGGTCGGGATAGTGAGTCGATTCCGTTTTCTGGGTGGTATGAGTAGATCTATATATTAAGTTCAAACCTCGAACCTTCGCGCTTAGCGATCTAGCAAACAATCTATCTAATGAAGTAAACAATGCAAACAGCAGATAGTTGCTGATCCGTAGAGTCATAGAACAGACAATCATGCAGACGGTAATAAATGTCACGATCTACTATAGATCGCTATCACATGCTTCATGTTTGCTTGCTTGCTCGTTTGCTTGCTTCCATAGATTGTTTGTTAAATAGCTAAGCGAGGTTTGCAACGTTTGCAAAGTGGTTAGCAGCTATATAACAAGGTTGTTTCCCATTATCCACTTACTTACTCTTCCTCTCCATCTTCGGTATTTCGTTGAATACACTCTTTCTCTTCTGATCGACTTGGCGCTTCGCAGTCCACACTTTGATAGGTCAGGGCGTCAACTGGCCCTGCCTGGTCTTGGCGCTTTGGTCGCTCGGCAACTCATCTCATCACATTCCCCCCCCAGTTATCCTCATCTAAACCCACTCCTATTCATCATCCATTTTCAAATCCCTCATCTTACGAAATATGTCTTCAAAAATTCAAGTCGTGGAAACACGTGAACGTCAACTCGAGCGCTGGGTTCTGATGAAAATCGAGCATGCAATTGAGAAACTTGAGGAGCATAAACTCAACGCGACAGAACTCGAGAAATGGAAAATTAGCTTCTCCAGTATGAGTCTCGATCAGAACTCAGAGCTTAAGCCCCGCTTCTTCGCACCGAAACCTGACCTCCCGCCACCAAACGATGAGATACTCGATAAGGCCGCTGAGCCTAATGATAGTGATGGACGCTATTATTTAGGTGCATACGATATGAACAATTTCTTAAGCTCTTATGCCTTCCACCAACTAGGCCTCCGTGATAACGGGCCGTGGCATTTGATAGAGTAAGTCTATTGCTGTCTGGAGCTATATCGGGCCATCAAGGGTTGGGTATTTGTCATTTCCTGTAGAAGCAGGCTGTGAGCTTCATGGACTATTATCTAACGCTAGTCGATAGCCCTGGTCAATATAACGCTTACAAGAGCCTTTATTTCCATGGGTCTCCCTCGCTTGGCCCGTCTCCTACATTTGGCGCTTTTAAGATAATAGATAGTCCCGGAAAGGAATATCCGCATCTTAAAGCAGTCATATATACCGATATGGAGGCGGATGACAAAACTTGTTTCCGTTCAGAGGTCTTGATCAGCCTTCGCCTAATGTTGGCCCAATTGAGAAAGGTGCGCCTGATGCACCATAAGATCGCACCGGTAATTATCGATTCTTCCCTTTCTCCTATTCCTTTATTCCATGCTTCTGGGGTTACTAACTAAGTATTCTATAGGTCTTACTCGTCTCGTTGATGGGAAAGCATGTACGTATACTAGAGTCCTATTTTGATGGCAAATTGCTTCAAATGCGCTCTACTCGTCTTTACAAAATCTCCGACTGGGACTCGATTAAGACTGTGTACATGATTCTCACCGAGTATTTGCTCGGCCCTCCAATCAGAGATACCATCTAGGCTGGGGTATCTTCTTCTATTCGGGTTGGCATGTTGAAATGATTGAATGAACATCAAGTGACTTGAGGAGATGTCCGACGGCCCAGCCGGGGATCCACATGCGCAATGAACAGATAAAACTCCCATTTCCCCCAGAAAAGATAGATATTCAAGCAATACACACATCATGAAACAACCAATCTCATTGTTCCCATACTCAGTAATCTAAACATCAACGTGGCATAGGAGGCTTCAGGGAATGCACTCTTCAGTTCAAACTCGGAGCCTGCCATAGCCCGAAGAGGCTACGACAGAGACAAAAATCTTTCAATCTCAAGCTTCTTTTGGGGCGTCATATATATAACAGACTTTTGCCTTTGGCCATGATGGATAGGGGATCGCGTTTCCAGATAAGGCTCAGGTGCAGCCACAGAGGACTCAGGCCCTCCTTAAGCCTACTTCTTGCGCTGATAGGCCAAATAATTCTAGTGATGATGATTCCCCAAATTCACCCGGACCAGTCGCCTCATCCAAGGCAAATGGAGATCTGTCAGGGTCGGGACTCCTAGGAAGATGCCTGACTAAGCCAAGTTTTGCAGCGCCATTATCAAGAGCAAATATATGAGTGAGAAATGGATTCCATACTAAGAAGTACAGATTTTGCAAGATAAAATAACTCTAATATGTCAAAAGAGCCGTGTGCCTTCTTTCTGTATGTACAACATATATTGCAGGGAGTGTGGCCACGTGATTACAGCATTATTGTTTTGGGTCTGGTGGGGCGGTGTAGGCTTGTTTACTTTGCGTTAAAAGTGGATACAAACCCCACCTTACCCCACCTGGGCTATATATCGTATCAGCCGACTGCAAAGAACCTCATTTCACAACGCTAGGCCAGTGGAGTTGCTGTTGAAGGGTGCTCCAGTAGTATTGAGATGGTATCTTGGGAGTGTCACGCTGCGGTCATAAGTTATATAATAGGGATATGGTTGAGAATGGCGGCCAGAGTATTATTTGATTGATCACGTGCACCTGGTTGGTCTGTAAATAAAACGAGCGCACCTTACTCTTCACGTACATACCCCTACATTTGAGATTTCCCATATTATATCTCTGCCATCATGGAATACGATAGGCGTCTTGACCTTCTGCATGAGGTAGAAGAAAACATCTGGCTTGACAAAGTTGTAAAGGCCCGCTCTGTGGAGCTTCTGCACTTGGGTTTCAACTTTGCACCCACAGCAACTCGGTGGCCTTCCTCGTGTCAACAGTCTCTCTGGCAGATATGCAGACGAAAAGGTTGCCATGGAGGTTGAGGCTCTCCATCTTATCTGCCAGATAGACACTGATTGTGATTGAGAGTGCATGAGAAGTTTCAGAAATGCATCATCAGCGGCTGGCTACACGAGCCTATCATCTCAAGGGAAACCCGAATGTTCATCAAGGATTGATGCACGTCAAGGCACAGGCCAAGATGGCCAGCACTATAGGGCCCATTACTTCTCCCAGGGCGCGAAGAAAGCGTTAAAATAATCAATGTTATTCGTTGAGAGGTGTGCTGATTATGCACTGGCCGCCATGACAAAAATCCTCGGCGGTTAGAGAAGTTGGATAGATCACCAACAAAAATATGATTCGATCTCATGAAATGAAGGATGAAAGATTAAACTTCAAGCATGCCAACTCTGGAAGCACAGTGGTATAGTGGTCACAGATGAGGTTGGTTGGCCCACCCGGGCGTATCGCAGTGGTCATGTGCGAAGGGGCAGAGCGGCCAAAGGTCAAACGCCTGGTGATCGCACTCAGACTAGGGGCGCCAATATGAGCATTGACCATGGGACCAACGTGAGAGGTCAGGAGGGCCCCCCTGATCTGATTTCTGAATCCGTAGGGTTGATGCCTAAATGTGCCTGAATTATGCCTTATTTTAAACTGTATATTATACCACCTGGGGCATGACAGAGGGCTTAATAAGCAAAGTATCTTTCCAAGGTTCCAATCCAAGGTTGAAAAAATGAGGCTATTCCCACCATACAATTATCCGCATACACCCATTTATTCATAGGCGCTAAAGCTATTGCGACTGTACAAATGATTTGTGGGGTGGAAATAGCTTCAATTCAATGGTTTATGCGGTCGGGGACGGGTTTCAACGCCGGGATTCGAAAAACCTGATGATTTTTGGGGTCGAAATACGTAGCTTAAATTTTGGGAAGTTGGAGATTTGTAGGAATAGCTTCAACTTACAATACACGGTATAGAGCCGTGTCGAAAGCGGTCTATAGTACAGGCATATTCAGGCATATTCAGGCATCAACCCTGCAAAATCAGCCAGGCATTCGACCTTTGGTCGCTCTGCCCCTTCGCAGTCATGTGATGGGAGGCTGGTGCTATCCGAACGCGACTTCGTGTGAACTTCGCTTCCTTAACAAGATGTACGCACGCAGAGCTTGCGAGGGCTTTCGATATAGGTCTCGCGTACTCCCTTCTTCTAGAGTCGGACAAGCTGTCTTGACTTGTATTCCATTTCAGAATACTGTCGATATGGAATGGTTACGACGTTTGATCTCGCGCCAGACGCACACGTCCTCGACGCCTGTTTCCCCCCGGTCGCCTACTAATCCTACCATAAGACTGCGATGAGGAGAGTATGTATCACTACACGTCCGGTCGATGGCTTTGGAATGAGAAAGAACAGTTGTCCCGTCGCTATGTCAAGTTCAATCTGGCAGAGCTCGTCAAGATCGCAACCCGCGCGACAGGGTCAAAGTCCTGCGTCGAAGTGCAGAAACTCCCAGAAGGAAATTTCAGCAAAGTTTTCCTACTCACGATGGAGGATGGGAAGGAAGTGATTGCAAAGCTCCCGAATCCTAATGCTGGACCGCAGTACTTTACCACAGCTAGTGAGGTGGCGACCATGGACTACGTGAGGAACACTTTGTTTTATTTCGCGACGTGCTATTTTATCTGACCCCGATTTCTAGGTCCGGAATGTTCTGAATATTCCAGCCCCAACGGTGTATGCTTGGAGCCTTCCTACCGAAGAGATTGGAGCCGAGTATAGCATTATGGAGAAAAGCCGTGGGGTTGCACTTGGCAAGGTGTGGGATGATCTGCCGGGTCCTGATAAACTTAAGATTGTTCATCGACTCGCTGGGTTTGAGAAGGCTCTCGTATCCACCCGGTTTCCGATGTATGGAAGCATATATTATGCAGACAACCTACGCAATATCGACCCAGATCAGGTGATTGAGCTTGGAGATAAGAAGAACACCGTGAGTGTGAAATTTGCGGTTGATCCAACCACGAATCGAACGTTCTTTGATGATGGCAGAAATTCTGTTAATGTCCAGCGAGGACCCTGTTAGTGTCTCCCTCGGATCGCTGGCGAACTGTCCTAATGGATGTTTTACGATAGGGGCATCTCTTGAAGATTATGCTTTCGCTCGTGCCAACCGTGAACTTGCTTGTCTGCAGACCTTCTCGAAATTCCCACGTCCACAAGGATTATTTTATGGGCCAGGTCAATACCAGCCCACCGCTCAACGAAAGCAAGAAACACTGCAAAATTTCCTCAAGATTGCCAAGTTTCTGTCGCCGAAAGACAAAGAGATATCTAAGCCTGTTCTGTGGCACCCCGATCTACACGGAGACAACATTTTCGTGAACCCGGATCAGCCAACAGAGATTATTTCTATTATCGATTGGCAGGCCGTGAATTTGTCGCCTCTATTTCTTCAGGCTCGCCATCCAGCCCTGATAGAATTCGAGGGGCCCATCCCTGAGGGATTGAAGGCAATCAGTCTGCCCGACAATTTCAATGAACTCAGTCCAGAAGAACAGCTCGAGGCGAAGAAGCTTCGTGCTGCCCAGTCTCTCTACAAACATTATGATATTCAGATGATCGAGGACTGCCCTGAGATTGCAGCTGCTCTAAAGTTCAAAAATTCGCTCGCTGGCCAAATCATGGGTCTTTCTGGCTCTCTCTTCAGCGATGGGGAACCCATTGTTCAGGGTATGCTCATAAGACTCCAGGAAGAATGGGGGTCTCGTGTTGGGTCATCCATTCCCTGCCCACTCTCTTTCACCGAGGAGGATAAGGAACATCAAAAGGAGGACGAGACAAAGTGGGCTAGTGGTGTTGAACTAATGGAGGAATTCCTCGGTCAAGTCGGTGCATTGGGACGGTTGGGTGAATCACAATAGCTACGAGCACTTCAAGGCGCGGCTAGAAGAATGCCAGGAAGAGTTCTGGAACTCTCACTCCACCACAAGTGAAGAGAGAAATGAGTGGAAATCAGTATGGCCTTTTACAGACGGCCAATGATTTTCATAGGTGGGTAGGTATATAGCTTAAATAGGTTTGTTCAACGCCGTCGGTGACTTTCTAGTTACCTAGCACTTCATGGATCTTAGGTAGATGATATACTTGATCACCGAAACATTCGTTCATATGCGACACTGTCACAATGGGCTTTTTGAGCTACAAGACATGCGCATGTGTATGGGTCCGTGAGACAAACCCAAGCTACACCTTCCAAAGTTAATTCCAAGGTTAGTTTTCTCACGGTGGGCGTTTAGTTCTTAGCTAATCAGCCTTTTCGATGGGAGTCCATCTGATAAGCGAGGACTTCCATATCGGACGGATGGCGGAACGGAACAAATGGCGACTTTACGACGTCATTACCTGCCTCCATACTATAGAAAAACTGTCCAAAGGCTGCAAGTATACGTGTGCCACAGCTATATCATTATCTGAGACCCGGTCTCCGATTATGCCATTAGCGGTGCGGCGTGACCGGCAAAATCCATAGCAGATTATGATCTAGCGCGCTGGCACAGACTCTGTACATAGAAGTTGCCCTCCAGGGCTATGTGGATTGATGATGTCATTTTTGCCTTAGTCAACTATGACCTACGGGGTAACTAACTATGTATGGAGTATCTAGGTACTGAAGAGGGGACCCCTGAGGGGTACCGACAGCCCTGCCTGCGAAACAGGTGTGAGAGCAGAGTCGTCACTGGGAGTAATAGGGTGCTAGAGAGGAGAACACCATGAGGTGACTACTGAGAATGGAAGTGGAAAGGTGTCTGCGGTGCTATCTAGTTATGCCTCGGGAGTGCTTTTATGTCACATAGCCGCTTAGTCATCCTGCTCTGGAAACCCCCACTGCAGTACCTAGGTACGCTTGTACCTTACACAGATTGCCGTGGCTCCAAGGTTATAAGGTTATAAGTGATGGTCACTTGAGATTCCCAATTCAACTGAACTCGTGTAGGTCTGTGCATCAGTTATGAATTCGGTTTATGTCCGAAGATCTCCCGAATATAGGTATTCCTTGATTGGCTATGGAGGTATGGTATGTAATGTAGGTCCCGGTGTACATAGGTGTGTGTCCACTGTCCCCTCCGTTCCTAACTTCATCTTATTCTACCCTCGGAACCAGCAGGGATGACTTCATATGTAGCTTTCGTGTGGGTTTCCCCCGGGTCTTTAAGTGGTAATCAGGACTCCTATCCACAGATATGGGCAACGGCTGTATGTAGTTCTGACGTCAGGTCGTGTGGAGAATGCCAAGAATGGCAGGGACCTCTGGATCGCAGATCGAAATTGACAGGGTACTTTTATTGTACTTCTTTTAGGGATATTCACACGGATATTGAGCAAGAATAACATGAGACTTTAAATTGTATATATATAAAAAAAAAGAAAGGTTCTACACCTTCAATCTCATCGATATCAGCCCTAAATCTCGATCTATACTGTGTTATACGCCACGGCCGCCACCACTCTGTGGTGTAGATCCACTATAAATCCGGTTTCAGCCCGTGGAGTCCCCATTAACACATACTTGGTACATACTTCCTACATATAACACCTGGAGAAGGTCCACAATCTTTTTTTTTTCTCCTTCCCCCTTTGCTCCCTCCCCCGCACTCAAGGATGTCTACCCCAGGGCAACGAGAGCCTCAGGCTGTTCACCATGAGAACACCGACAGTGAAGCCAGCGTGCCTGTCGATGTGTCCGCCGCAATTGAAAAAAAAGAGAGCGAGCGTTCCGATGGAAAGCGCGAGCTGAAGGAAGATGAGTGCTACGAGATTCTGGGATACTGCTGGCCACGATGGAAGAAATGGACCTATCTAGCCGCGGTCGCGTGCGTTCAGGTCTCTATGAACTTCAACACTTCGGTCTACCCTGCTGCTGTCAAGGGTCTTGCCGAGGCTTTTCACATTAGCGAGCAACATGCTCGCACGGGCCAAATGGCTTACCTGGTTACTTATTCTATTGGCTGTGAGCTGTGGGCTCCTTGGTCCGAGGAATTCGGTCGCTGGCCTATCCTCCAGCTCTCTATGTTCTTGATCAACATTTGGCAACTACCTGCAGCCCTTGCCCCCAATTGGGGCAGTGTTGTTGTCGCTCGTGCATTGGTTGGTTTTCTTCCTTGCTAAGCTAGCAGTTTAACAATTTGATGAACTAACATGATATTTAGGGTGGTCTCTCTACTGCTGGTGGTAGTGTCACACTCGGTCTTATTGCCGATATCTATGAACCCGAGACGCAACAATTTCCTCTGGCTTTCATCGTTCTGTCCTCTTGTATTGGTACCAGTATTGGTGGTGTGATTGGAGGACCAATTGCCCGTTGTAAGCAGCCACTACTCTCACTCTGCAACATTTTACAACCTAGCTAACACGTTTGACACTTAGTCCTTGATTGGCAATGGTTCTTCTGGATTCAACTCATCTTCGGGGGATTCACCCAACTTATCATCTTCTTCATGCCTGAGAGTCGTTCGACCATTATCATGGACAGAGAAGCCAAGCGTCGCCGCAAGACCGGGGAAGACCCAAATATTTACGGACCCAACGAGCTCAAGACCCCCCGTGTCTCCCTCAAGGAAGCCGGCAAGATTTGGGCACGTCCATTCTACATGTTTCTGCGCGAGCCCATCGTGCTTTGCCTATCTCTTCTGTCCGGTTTCTCCGATGCTCTGATCTTCACTTTCCTGGAGAGCTTCGCCATCGTCTACGAGCAAGGATGGGGCTTCGGTACCCTCGCACAAGCGTGGGCAATTATTCCAATCAACGCAGCCTACTTCATCGCCTACTTTAGCTACTTCCCGTGGTTCATTCGTGACCAAAAGCTCCGGCTTAGACATGGCGATGCCGCCATCCCACCCGAGCGCCGTCTCAAGTGGCTGCTCTTCCTCGCCCCACTCGAACCTATTGGTCTATTCGGTTTTGCCTGGACATCCTTCGGCGACTCAAGAAACGTTCATTGGATCGGATCCATGATATTCTCCGCCTGTGTCGGTATCGCCAACTATGCCATCTACCTCTCGTCTGTTGATTATATGGTCGCTTCCTATGGTGTGTATTCAGCTTCTGCGACCGGTGGTAACGCTTTCGCGCGTGATCTTCTCGCTGGTGTCTCGGCCATGTACGCGACGCCTATGTACAAAAATATCGGCAATAAGTGGCATGTGGAGTATGCAAGTACTATTCTGGCTTGTCTTTCCTGTCTCGTTGTGACTCCCATCTATGTTTTCTACTGGAAGGGACCGCAGCTTCGCGCCAAGAGTAAGTTCGCCTCTACGCTTGCTGCCGACAGAGAGCACAACCATGGTAGGCGTGTCAGCAGGATCAGTGTGGAGCCTGAGTATTGAGCTTTGATCAAACGTGCAGTTGCATTATTAGAAGTTTTGCATAGATATCTTGCTTTTCATGCGTTATGTATATATGACTCGCCTTGGGCGATCAGAGAATTTTAGACCTCATGACAATTAGAGCTAGACCCGAAACAATTTTATTTCAACATACTACTCCGTACATATTTTTAGACTCAGCTTTCATTCACATTTAAGGGGGAACGTATGATGAACAACATGCGATAAGACGCAATGACCAAAAGGAGCGTTGAGCAGTTTGGGTGGGGAAGTACACGATGGATGCAGCAAGGATACAGTGGGGTCCGCTATTGCCTTCCACGGCGGAGGTAGATGCGATGCTCTTTCAAACCCTAATCACATGATCTGACAAGCTGAATGATATCACAGCGTACAGATACCGTTCTGAAATTACACTATAACAATACCGAGCCTTTACCTGATACCTGTATGAAAGTTACTCAAGTCTCGAACTGAGGGGCTTGGCAGACTGGAATGTTCGATGCAAATAGAGCAAACTTGGGTCGCACACCCTCCTATCCTCTCCTAGCCCTACCCGGGATTGTACCACAGATCGACTACAGTCAAGTCAGGTAAATTTCCTTCCCTTTGAGTAGGAGAAAGGCGATGAATACGATGGGTATCCTCATTATGTTTGCTACACTATCGCCTGGAAACTGGTACTCAACCGCAAAACGGTGGGTAAAGTGACCGAAGACGACTTGGTCGTAGCCCCCAGTGAGTACTAGGACGGAACGTTGAAGGCAAATGTTAAGGACATATTGCAAATGAAAAAGAAGCGAAGCCAACGCGTTCGCTCTGAAGGCACACCTGTCACCGTGTCAACGACAAAATGTTGAAGGATTTGAGAAATTCTATAGTTCTACTAACATTGATTGGAAGCCAGTGGAGAAACAGCTACGTAAGTTACGTAAGTAGAGCAATGTCCTCCGTATGGGTAAAAAGATTAGAGTTCTCATTACCTTCAACTACGGCCACGATGATAACGATCAGGCGAGACCATCATCACGGAGAGTCAAGAAGAGAGGCCGCGTGTCGGCAATTAGTCGGATGCTGGCTGAGCATAAAGCACATATTGATACGGAAGAAGAGGCCACCGGACGGCCTTCAACCTGGAGTCTCGTGTATGATCGTATGCGATGTGTCATTCGCTCATATCCACTCATGTCTGATTGGTGCTGGGAGGATCCAAAGGACAAGAAACATTATAAGCTTAGGGCCCCGTACCTTGAACGACTCATTAATCATGTTGACGAAGGTGGTAGTCTAAATGACCATGATGATGTCCCTAGTGATATCCGTCGAGACCTCATTTTAGAAAGCCAGACAGGAAAAAAACCCCCAAAAGGGTAGCGAAGTGACCACTGGATTGTCATATTCCCCGATCAGTATCAATGTTCTCCTAGCATAAGCTGCGCATACTTCGACAGGCGCTTTATTACCTTCCAGACCAGTCTCTCATGAGAGTCTTATGATACCTGAAACTCGAGAGCAGGCTATGAGGTAATACTGTAATT